TGGTGTGGATGGAGCGTGTGGGCAGGGGTGGGTCTGAGCACAACATCACAGCTCACAGTGTTGTGTGGATGGAGCGTGTGGGCAGGGGTGGGTCTGAACACAACATCACAGCTCACAGTGTTGTGTGGATGGAGCGTGTGGGCAGGGGTCGTTCTGAGCACATCACAGCTCACAGTGTTGCACCTGCACGTGCCCAGGGTGGGTCTCCCTGCCTTGGCCCTTGCCTGGGTCTCCACCACCAAAAGTGCATGTTTTTCTCACCAGGTGAGCGAGGAGCCAAAGGTGACCCAGGCGTACCTGGAGTTGGCCTTCGAGGAGAGATGGGACCGCCCGGAATCCCAGGTATAAATGATTTTTGGAGTCTCGGGCGTGGAGGTGGCACCTACCGTGGGAATCAGAAACCGCAGCAGTAGCACTCCTGTCTGCAGTACACAGGACTCAGACTTGGGTGAAGAGAAAAAGGTGGGCTCTACGAAGGAGAAGCAGGACAACTTACTTGTTTTCATTAAGCATATCTGAATGCGAGTTTCTTTTTTCTTTCTTTTATCTCTTTAGGTTTTGCCATAGGGTATGTGCATTCGCCGAAGAGAGAGGGAAAGTGAGAAATCACCCCAACCCCCTGCCCCCGCTCCCCGGGCGGATGGCCATTCTGCAGTCCCTTTTCCAGCCTCCTCTTAGGATTTTGGGCATGTGCACACATGTACCTGGTGTGATTTTCAAGCCACTGGGTCTGGGACTCGAACCATGGTCAGCCACTTGGGAGTCCAGCACCTTAACCACCACCACATATTGACCCCAAATACTAGTTTCTTTACTTATCAAGAAAACTGTATCCCATGAATTTTTTTTTTCTTTTTTTTTTTTGGAGAGATTTTCACTGTAGGGCGCGTGTGCTCGCCAGACAGAGAGAGACATAGAGACAGAAAGCGAGAAATCACCCCCCAGGGGGGATGGTCTCGCCGCAATCCCTTCTCCTCCATTCTCCTCTCGGGATCTTGGGCACGCACGCACACGCGCCTGGCGTGAGTTTTAAGCCACCGGGTCCGGGACACGAACCACGGTCGACTATGTGGGAGTCCAGCGACATAACCGTTACGCTAACTGCTGGTTCCCAATTTTTGAAGTATATCCATGAATTGAAAAATCTCATGGATGGTACCAGCCAGTGCCATGGTGAATAGAGTGGCTGGATTCCACGTGGCCAACAGTGTGGTCTGAGTCCTGGACCTGAACTCTTGAAAACATGATGGGCACGTGTGCCCAAATCCTGAAAGGAGCGAGAAATGGAGGAGAAGGGGCTATAATAAAACCATCCCCCGGGGGTTGCTGTCTTACCTCCTCCCCGTCTTTCTCCGGCAAATGCATGCACCTTCTGGGAAATTAAAAATAAACGAACAGACAAAAACACCCCATGGATCATTGTAGAAAAAAATAAATAAAACAGAACGGAAATTGGGCTAAACAAGTCCAGGCAACGCCAAGGCCTGTGCCCCCCTCAGACATTCCTGGTGCTCGTCCGTGTATTACAAGTGCTGAGGAGCCTCACATCAAAACAGTCTCGGCAATTTAGTTTAACCTTGCTTTTCCCAAACTCTTCTGAAGGGGAGAGCCATTGTCTCACTCTGTTTCTCAGACTATGCTTTGTGGAGCACCGATCAGCTGTCCTGGGGCTGAGCCTCCTGGAGCATGGGGCTTTTGGTTTAAAAATGGTAGAGCTGTAAACTCTACCTCATGGAGGCTTTCTGGGCTTTTTGTTTGTTTGTTCAAGTTTGTTTATTTATTTACTTCTTGTGGGAGAGAGAGAAATACAGGCACCCCCACAGGGCTTCACACACCATCCGTTCCCAGTCCTAGCCAGCCTGGGTCACAGATGCATAGAGGCACGCTTGTCATGTCCAGGAAGGTCCCCGGACTCGAACCCAGGGCCTTCCCCGTGTGATCCAGCTTCACTACCACTGTACCCCTACCTGACCCTGGCGCTTCTATTCTCAAATTCAGTTCTAATTTATACATCTACCTGAGGTCATTTCTGTAGATTGGGCTCATAGATCACTTTAAATTTAGTATTTATAGCTTCATAATTTTCAGGTTTCCCACAGCAGCGGTGTATTATTATTTAGAGAAGACAATTAGAAATAGCTTATACTTATTTATTTTTATAGCTTGCCTACTTTCAAGTAGCTTATAAGGCTAAAATTTTGTTTTCAATTGGGCAATTTCAAATACAGGTAAAAAGGCAGAACAAAAACCATTTAGAAAGGGGGTAACCATTGTAGGGATGTGGGGTTGAATTAACGACTGCACGTCAGCAGCTCCCAGCTGAAGGGGTCAGTGCCGCCGCTGCTCTCAGAACTTGGTCTAGGCCGGACCACGATGCAATAATGATCACCCAAATGTTCACGGCAATGTCTGAAGGTCTTTGTGAGGAAGAGGTTTCTTGAGAAGGCAATTACTAAGACTTAGAGAGGAGACCATGATTGCTTACCCCTGAGCGTCCCAGTTGCCAAAGCAGAAGCGAAGGGCAGCGTGCTGACGTGCTATCATGGAGGCACATGACTTCTAGGTGACGCTTTCTGGGTCTCGATTTGGGTGTCTGTCACGTACATCCTGGCTGTCGTCTTTGCCACGATTTTGGAGGACAGGTTAATGTAGGCCAAGCATGTGGTTCGCATTTTACACGCAGCCGAAGCTGAGAACACAGACGATCAGGGACAGTTAAACGTTGGATACTAAAATGTCACCCAGTGCCCTAAGGACCTTTGAAGTGGGGCTTATGGCTAATGGCCAGGACTTGGTATCCTACTCTGAACCCAGACCCATCTCCCAGACCATATGAATGTAGCATTCTTGTTTCTCATCTGATTCTTAAGCAGGGAGTGTGTTCCCTGCATGGCCTCCTTCTGCCCTGTGTTCTCTCGCCTGGGGAACGTGGTGATTGTCCTCGCTCGCAGTCCAGGCAACCCCTGTTCCTGCATATTAAGGTGCTCCTGCTACCTGGGGCTCATGTGGACCCACAGGCCCCTCGGGGCAGAGCTCACAGGCCACAGGGATGCTCTCAGGAAGTTTCTCGTCCTGAGGGCGTATCGAATGGGGCAGTGAGAGGAGGGCCACTGCTCTGGGCAGGACTTTGAACTATCTTGTTTCTTTTGCTCCTTGGACCAGGTCAACCTGGGGAACCTGGCTACGCTAAAGACGGACTCCCTGGGAGCCCTGGTCCTCAAGGGGAGACAGGACCAGCTGGACATCCTGGACCCCCAGGCCTCCCCGGCCCCCCTGGCCAGTGTGACCCCTCGCAGTGTGCCTATTTTGCCAGCCTGGCTGCTCGGCCCGGCAATGTCAAGGGCCCCTAGAAGATTCCAAAAGGCCAGAAGACTGCGTTGGATTCTGCAACTTGAACTCAGAGCCTGATGGGAAGCCAGAGGTCTTCAAATATGTCTGCCACTTTTTTTTCCCTTTCTTTATCATTTATTTTTGTTTTATTTTCCTGAGAGACCTCACAATTAAAACCAACAGATGCTGCCGGTCGGTCAGATTATTAATATTATTATTGTTAATTATTATTGTTATTTCATGTGCTAATGCTTTTTGAGTTTTTTTCCGTCTGCTCTAAATTTGGGAAAAAGTGATGCATGGGTGTGGAGATTGTTTCTTGGTCCTCTGACAGCCTCCACCTGAAGTGTAGCTGTCAGCTTTAAGGAAACTCTTGGTGCTATGGAGCCCCTACCAGACACTTGACAAACTTACCTCTTTCCTCAAAAGGACACTTTAAGAAATTGAACCCATGAGCTTCTGTTCTCGGTTGTTCCCAGAGGTTACCAGGGAGAAATGATCCAAAAATCACCATATCCCAGGAGAGAGCAACGAAGCAGGAAGAGGAGGAATTTGCAGGCGTGAAGAATGTCCTCGGCTCCTGGTGAAGATGCACAGAGAGCACAGGGCCGGCCCTGGGAGGCATCGGCCCCCCACTTGGCATTTCAATCTCACAGACACACGCTGATATCACACGGTTGGCAAGGGACCTGTGGGATCCCACCAGAGGTAGGAAACTGGCATTGAAGAAGCAGCCCCTGAGTGCAAATACGATTTCTGAACTGTGGGTAGGACTCCTTCAAGCCCACGATCACCTTAGTTGTTAAATAAAGGGGTACCATGCCGATCGCTTGTGTTTCCGGCGAGCGCTCGGCCCGGCACTGACCAGAGCCGAGGTGCTTTGTCTCCAGGATTGCGCTTGGACAATACACCACGTTGAGTTTGTGTGTGCGTGATGTGCCCAGCACAGACAGGTGCTCAATAAATCTGAGTTTCCTCTTCCCAGTCCTCTCGATCATTCGCTGCCTTCAGTGTCCACCTGGATGTGAACTCGTCAAGCACCGGCGTGAGCCTCTTTCTGCTGGGACCCTGGCACAGCGTCCTCACGTTCGGTCCACAGCCTGCATGGTGAGGGAGTGGATGCACGCGTGTGACCAGCCAACCTGGGCAGTTCATTACCAGGCCCTTCGTCGAGGCAGCCCGTGATTTCACCGGAGAAGAAGCCATGCAGACTTGCTGTTTGTGCGAGATCGCAGTGGAGGGGGCGTGGGGCGGGCTGGACGTTGGTTGGGGAGAGTTCATCTAGCTAGCGGCCGTGCAATTTAGCAGTGGCCCCAAGTACTTATTCTTTCTCTATTTGTGCTCATGGCGACTGGCTGACTGATTAACGATGATTCATCAATTCGTCTACCCATGTTTGTGTCCATTCACACAAGCCACCAGGCACACACAGACCAAGGCAGCACAGCCTGTCCGGCACCGGCTTTGTACACCCCCTTCCCTCCCAATTCACGAGATTCTTCCTATCGATTCAGAACCAGGTGCATAAACATCTAAGGAAGCCTGAAGGTTCCAGGCCGTCCCCACAGTTCAGTGGTTAAGGAGGCCGGGTCACACACACCCACTGTGGTTTGAACCCTGCGCCCTGAAACTTGAAAATCTTGAGCTGGGCTCCAATCTGCAGTTTCCAGCATCTTCCAGCCAACCCTTTCTACTTGCTTCCTG